TGTTTGTACTGTTTGTATTTAACTTGATAGTTTTTTTTTTACTTATTACATCATAAATAAAGGGAATGATCTATATGTTTTTAAGCTTCGATGTTTGTTATATCAGGCCTCGCCTTCGAAAGACAGCAGGTAAATGGCCATTTAATCAAGAGACAAATTGACGACATAAGTTGATATAAAAAAACAAAATACAACTCCAAAGAGATTCCTTATTGTCTGGCATATTTCTCTACTTTATTTTTGTTGTCCCTATTGGAGCTTCTTACTCATCCACGGTTCGAAGTATTTCGCTGTACATATATCTTTTATGTAGAATTACATTCCTTTTTATCTAACAGAGGATCAAATTTCTATTTTTCATTCTCGTTTTTAAGAATCTAAGAGAGGTCTAAATTTTTTTTTTCATTCTTCTTTTCTAAAAATTGTGACTTGTCTTAATTTACGGATTTCGTGTTTGTCTACAGCATATTATTACAGATTTTTAAAAATTATTTTTTAACATATCTGAGGCAGCTAAAGTTACAATTTTTCTTTCATGGTCGTCCTCTAAGGAATCATAGTCCTTAAAAGCGTTTCCAAAAATTATGAAATTTATGGATTAATTTGGCTATGCCTAAAGATACTGAAATGATCTGTGATTGTGATGTAATGAGCTCCAGAGATGCATCTTGGGAAATTAATTAAAGTGTGTCAAAGGAATAAATAATAAGATTTAATATCATTGTTAATAATAATTCAGATAATGGTTAAGTACTAACATTTCCTCCCCAATGTGTATCCCAAATATAAGAACAAATGCGTCGTCTTTTTGTAAATCTTTGGCAGGTACAATTATTTTGATGTTGGGATGCTTAAACCAGAGGAAACACAAGCACCCTAGAGAATACAAAACTGCAGATAGCCATGTAAATTTAGTTTTCAGTGGAACTTTACACGAAACTTGATCTTCATATTCTGTAGGAAATTGTAATTGATACAATGTGTTTTGTACTGATTTGCATTATATTTCTTTTCAAAATTGTATGAAACACGAATTTTTTAATGACATCGTATAATTGGTTTCAGATTTAAAGATTTTAATGAGAAGGATTTTATTATTCAATCTGGTAGCATTTTATTTGGTCAATTAATTTCTAATGAGAAAATAAACCTGATCAACATTTTACCTAATAAAATATTACGTCTTGTCGAAAAGCCGTTTGCATGATTTCCAGTATTTTATGGTTATTGCAGTAAGATCCTTCTAATGTTATGACCATTCATATTAAAACAAATCATCTAGGAGATTAACAACAAAACATTGTATCTAGAGTAATATCTCCACATGTTTCAACATGACAAGATTCAAAATATGGGACAAGCCCCTGAATTTACTCTTATTAAATTTTTCCTCGTTTCTCCGGATGACAATCTCTTACAAGGTAATCATTGTTATTGATTTGGACCTAAAAGAATACGTTTTTGTCTGGGTACTATTCATTGCACTTATCGCTCGATGCCCAGGCCTATTGCAAATCATATTTCTTTGCATATAAAGAAGTGTACGAATGGGTATAACTTAATGATTTCATTTGGATGGTCTCTTAAGCACTCAATGATACGGCGCAGAAGTCTATGGAGCGTGGATTATTTAACTGCTATGATTGCCGTAGATGACTTTATGAAAGACAACTATATATGTTTAATAACAGTTTAAGAGAAGCAATACCGTCATTACAAGGATGAAATACATCCGGAATTCAAAATGTTCCATTTGTTTGTAGGCGTAGTTCCCTCAAATTTCATAAAAAACATCCAACAAAGACTCTTTAAAACAAATGATGGGCTGAAGGAAATGAACTTCCTCCAAATATTGATGATGTCCAGGCATTTGAAATCAACAAACCGTATGATCAAGGCGTTTTGTTCCGTACTTATCTTTATTCAGGCCATACCAAAATTCTTTGATGAGAAAATCAATGCTCATTTTATATGGCATAATTAAGGCGTATTATTTTGATTGAGAGATTTTTGGTGTAATCCACAAAACATCATCAGAAAGTTAAAGACATCGATTCATCTGTTCTTTCAACATACGTTAATTCATGCAGAATCATCCCTATTGAATACACCCGAGAAATTCTATAAAAACAAAGAATAAACGTTATCTTATTTGTAGTTTGCATGGTAAAGTGACTTCTTTTTCTGAAACATCAAAGCACATCTATAACACTCTTAGTACAGCTGAGTGCCTGTTTAAAACCGTTAATAACATTTAAGATACCAAATAATAATAGATCTAACAGATCACTCCAATATATATAATGTGATTTCGCTGATTTGAACTAATAGATTAGATTCCTTTTTAAAAGAACAATGTCCCTTCAGGTTATAGTGCATGCATGTACCATATGCATTCAAGGAAAAAAAATTGAATTTCAGATTCTACTATATAAGGCTCAAGTTACAGTTAACATAACAAAAATTATACTTCATTCACTATTCTAGAAACTCCAGATTAAAAGTTGGCTTTTCAAACTTTTAGTTCAGTAATTCCAACTTAAAAATCTAATACGCTTTCGTATGTGAACCCTACAATCCCGTATTTTGAATTATTGTGTGTGACAGAATGTCAGATTATATTGTGAACCTTAACAATACAAACCTAAATTACGGTTAATACATTTAATAACCATTTGGGAGTATCCTCACGACATATTTACGAAACCTTTTTTGTTCGAGTATTTATCCTCGTTTTCCACATTACATCCATTCGGATGTAGTAAGCGGTGTCTGACAGCTGTTAACTATACATCGTCAATCATTGCATTTCAATAAATTTATCTCTTCTTCTGATCTGCGAAAGGTAGCAATTTGTATTGGGATAAATGGGAAACCCGTCACTATCTCGACTAGACTTATTTATTCCCTGTACTAATTATTCTCAATACAAATCACTCTGGTCAAAGATTTAGGGTTGCAATGCATTCAATACTTTTGCCTATTGTTTCGCAATGCATTTAACATCTTTTCTCCTCAATTAAAAACAAAGAAAAAATGTTTTTCCTACAGCATAAAAACAAGGAGAGAAATTAACTTTGGACGAATTGACTTATTTACAATAGATTTATGGGTTCAAGAATAGCAGTTTTGACACAAATAAAAATGGAAAGTGACACAAAAACGATAGAAGTGAAAGTCAGAGACCATGTGTGTACATCATCACTGTGTTTTAAGTATGTTAACTGCTGACAAACACGAATGGCATATCATCAGAAATAAATAAAAATGAATTTTGATGTTCTATTTTCGTATACTCGTCTATTTCAGGAAAAGAAAACTGCTCAAAGAAGCTTCCGAATAATTTCTTCTAAAGCTTTAGAATTGAACCATACAAGATGTTCTTTTATATAGATAACATGAATGCACTATTAACTGTGTATTTCAATATAATAATAAAAACAGATATGCAGAAAGATGACGTACCATTGCATATAAAGGGTAACACCCTTGATAAATTCTAATTTCAAAATGCAATAACCAAAAGGTTCACCAATTTAAGATTGGTGTACAATGTCGCGGCTATTTCTCTTTGTGTAAATGAAAGGAAAGCAATTAAAAACTTTCATCAATACTCTTAATGAGAATGTAATAAACAAATCGCCATCAATACCAAGATAATTATGTATATATAACGAGGGCAAATTCGTCATCCCTTGACCGCTAATTTATGATGCAGTTATGCCCGTAACACGAAGCGGAATACAATTCCGCTATAAATAATTTAAATTCCGTGGGGAGGTTTTGTCGAGTATCGGACAAATTGATCTGAAAGACATTCACACCGATTGTGTAATAATATTGTAATATATAACATATTAATATTTTTAAAACATCTTTTAAAATGAACCATAAAAGCAATTAAGGATTTCAGAATGATTTCTTTATCAAACAAACAATATAATAATTCTGTTGATAAATATAGAATATATTAATACTAAATATATAATTAAATTTTTTATTGCAACCTAAAACAAAGGTAGCATGTCCTTTTTTCAGAATAAATATCTATAATGGATATGATAAAGATATTGAACTAAACCAATAAAAAAAATAAAACAAATTTGTTGCTTGGAAAAAATATCAAGAAGTCTTTGCACATGCACTGATATGATTAAAAAAGTACATAGATATTCTATATAAACGATATACTTTCTAATATTGCTATTTTGAAAGATTCTTCTGCATTATCATTTTCAGCAAAAAGCTAAAGCCTATAAATCCTATTTTTGTGCGACATTGGATCAGTATTGACATTTCCATCTATTCATGTTCTCTAACAATGTTTAGAGGGCAAGCTTCTAATTCTACACACATCTACGGTTTCTTTGGTCTGTTTTCATACCCCCGTGACGCAAACTAATGTCTTCGCAAACAGAACTGCACTGAAAAACATCGCGTCAGTTAGACAAAACAAGAAATTAACTCAACTTTGAAGGATTTAGAAGTATCAAACCACTTAAACTCAGTGAACCTAAATAACATAACCATCATATTCTCACGTGATAGTTGTTAATCGAAACACTAACCCTTTGATTTGCTATAACATGCCGTCAATAACTCTTTCGATAGACAAAGTCTTACATTCAGTGTCTAAGAGTTGATCAGATTGCTTTATTGTGAGTTGAAAATCTACGTTGAAATACGACACAACGATGTGATCTTGGTCTAACTATTATTGACATTTTTATACGGTTATCACTTCTAGTTGTGGCTAAAGGAACAGACTCAATTTGTTATTAAGTTTTAGATGTACCTAGACATTCTAAAAATGGAAAGCCATTAAACTGTTTCTTCCATTTAGATGCCAATTTCATCAAGAAATTTCAATAGAAGCAAAGTCATTCAATGTTCAAAGAATTTGGACTAGAAGAAAACACTTTAGATCCAAAAATGTCACTGAACATTAAACGTTCAGTATTTTTTGTTTTACTGAACCTGAACTTTTGCTCTCTTTTCAGTTGATGAAATAAATGACGACATTCCAGTAGATAAACGATCTGTAAGGTTATGTAAAGGACACCCTGATGTGCTGCAGTGTATTCGATCTTATTTCTCAAGCAGATTTAAACTTATGCACCGTGCTGTGAAAGATCCTGTGGACCTGCGTAACATTGGAAAACGCGGGAAAAGGTTTTCGGGCCAGATGGTTACAGATGATCAACAATGGCGTCTGGATCGACTGAATAATTTGTACGAAGCCATGGTTAAGAAGGCTGCCAGTGATTTTCGAAATATTGGAAAGAAACGGGCTCCTTTTGATTTCAGAAGCATCGGTAGAAGAAGTGTTGCTGCCGATTTCAGAAACATTGGAAAAAGGTATTTCGGTGCAGACTGGAGGAACATCGGTAAACGACTCTCAGGAGATTTCCGAAACATTGGTAAAAGAAGTTTTGCCGCCGATTTTAGAAATATAGGAAAAAGAGGTTTTGCGGCAGATTTTAGAAATATTGGCAAAAAACGTTATGCAGCAGATTTTCGTAATATTGGAAAACGACTTGGAGTTGACTTCCGAAACATTGGAAAAAGGACGCTATCTAATATGGATAATGATATGGCTTTAGATGACGAAATTTTGTCTTTACTTTGCCCAGACTCAATTTCTCTTGTAGAGTGTTCAGATAGAATGGCTATCAATGCATAATGTTTGAAATATTTATTATATGAAATAAAAAATACAAATAAACATAAATTCTAGCATTTCATATTACTATTTAGTCACATGTATATGATTTATGAAGTGAAACACATTTTACTACTTAGGTTTAACTAGTATTATATTTTTATGACTGTGTTCATGAAACTTTACGGAAATAAAAAATAAGTCGTTACCAGTTATGGCATGATGCTCCATCTCTCTCTCTCTCTCTCTCTCTCTCTCTCTCTCTCTCTGTGTGTGTCTCTCATCTTGATTATCATTAATTTTTTCATGCTAAGACCGATCATATTTGCAAAAATTAAGTAGATGACTTGATAAGTTTCAGATTCAAAATCTTTAGAATTATACTAGTATGTAAATTATTCCCCGTTTATATATTTGTAAAATATGTTAAACACTTGCAGCTTATGGAGAAAATAAATGCAATGAAAATAAATAAATAAATATGACAATTATGGCATGATTTGTTCTTTGAAGCTGAACTGTGTATTACCTTGGATGAGTTTTAGTTCTTAAAAAAATTAATCATCTATAGTCCAAGCCAAACTGTTAGTATTCCATGGTCATATTGGATATCAAATACCAGGTCTGACATTTTACATAGGCGAAAGGTATTTAAAACTTTAAGTTCCCTAAAGACTTTAATAATACACAGATTTTAAAATTTTTCATTGCTTTCTTGAGGTTGTATTTGTTGGTTTATCATTATTTTTTAAATAAAACATAATTTTCTCATGAACGCATAGTCAATGTGAATTAAATTTCAGTATACCTTTAGTATACCTTCTACTTTAATTTATTTTAGTTATTCATGAGTATCCGTGTAACCGAGGAAGATACTATTTCACTTCCGCTTCAAGTAAGACAGCAACCTTTGTTAAAGTACACTATCACATTAAGATGGATTCGTGTAGGAAAACTCTTACTTTTATCTACTTACACTAAAATTAATAAAAGTAGTAGTATTACATTAATGCCAGTTTATAAACAATTGGATATGTTCAGCTACGCACTAAGGTATCCAATTTATCTACTGTACTATTATATTTACAACTGATTTTTTTTTCAAGCTTAATACTAGGGAATCAAGTGTAAGTGCGAACTGTAGTACATGTTATAATACAAATTTTGAATTCACTAGATAGAGTGAAACATAGTATGGAGATAGTTAGAGGTAAATACAATAATTGCATTTTTATCAAAAATTTTGAATTTAAAAGTTTCTTCACCCAGTAAAGTCTACATTTGCCATACCCTCTATGTCTTGATCGGGTAAAAGAAGTTATTCGTAGTCGCTTTTGTTAGCACACGTAAGATGACATAGGGAGATAAACATGGCAGACATAATACAACCCAACCATTGGTTGTGTTTGCAGACAGGATCATTATAGCGACCATAGAATTTGAAAAATGAAAAACCTTTTCTCATTAATCGAAAAAAAGTTATTTAGAAGGGTTGAGGTATATTCAGTAATATTGCAAACGAAAAAAATGGCGATTTGATAACATTTAACATTGCACTTTTATTAATATTTTAACGTTGACCAGTTGTTCAGTTATTCATCACTTACGTTAGCATTTTTGCATCGCCAAAGATGGCACTTTACAGTGCCCATTTGTTTAACTAGCAACTGCTGCCATCTTGAAAGTTTTAAACTTGCAAGAAAATTAAAGGATAACACTCTAATTGTGACTATATAGTTACATTAAAGTATATGGCTTCGTTGGGTTGGTCAAAAAAAAAAAGAGTAAAGGTAGGAATGTCTCATTTCTTATTAAAAATAAATAATGTGGAACCTATTCTTATAACCCAAAGACAATCATTAAGAGGCACGATTCGTTTTGTAAATATGATTATGCAGTAAATTTCATTTGGTATCATGATATTATTGTAATACATAACAAGTGTTAGAACTCATACAAAAGATGCGGATACGTCAATTTAAGTACGGATCAATTTCCCTTTGAAATCTCATTAATTAACAAAACCCTGTTATTAACTTTACATCAATAATTTAAAAGACTATTTCGATTGACAGCGAATCTACATTGTAATTTGTCAGTGATTTAATTATCATTATCATCTTTGAATAACTACTGTTAACTTTCTTCAATCTTTCATTGATTTTTTTTGAAATCCAATAAATTGTTTCTTTGTTCTCTGGGCTTTAATATCTTCTAGGCAAAGTCATCAGATGTTAAGATTCTTGTCCTATTAAACAAAGAATAATGACATCGATCTTAAAGTTTTCGTTTAATCTTTATAATCTTTGGGAAATGTCAGCCCCCACAAGACAAAGATCTCAAAGAGTGGGACTTACTGCATTAATATACGTTTAAAGAATTTGGTCTAAATAAGACTGACTACTATTTTCTCTGCATTGTTACAGTGCACTTTTTAGTGAGAACATCTGACCTTTGAGTGTGACGGCTTGGAACAGCGAGGGGCCAAAATTGAAAGCTTCAATGTCAGTATTTTTCTCTTCATCTTACGTTTCCTTGCTGCCTCGAGCTCTTAATGGAAATACATAATATTTTGTCTTTCTTTACCTCAAGGGTAGAACTACAAATTTATTTCTTAAATTTTCTTATCGAGATGCTAAATGTGATGTTTTTATTAGCTGACGGTTTTATATTCCTATGAAGCAGAATTTATTTTTAAAAAAAATAGCTTCTATTTTATTCTATCCTATTCTATTTTTCTATTCTATAGAAGAAATAAGAAGCATTCGAATATATCGACGATGTTTTATCGATAAACAATAATATTTTCATCCATATGTGTACTCCATATAGTCCAGTACTCCATATAGTCCAGTGAACTTAAAATAAAGGACCCCACAGAGTCTGCCACATATGTTTCATAGTAGGTAGAATGCTTTACTGATAATAGACCAATCAACAACTAAATAGTATGAAAACAGAGATGACTTCAGCTTTTCTATCGTCAACTTCCTTATTTATGCATATACAATATCCCACCATCACCTGTTTACGGTGTCTATTTCTCTCAACTTATTCCCAACTTATTTACTATTCAAGAGCTTGCTCTGAGTACCATCGAGATTTTAAAACCGAGGCATGCTTCTCACTGATAAGAAGAGGTTACAGGGATTTCAAAAACCTAGTTTAAATTCAGAATTTTGTAAAATATATGGTCGTTATGATGCCCGTATTAACATATAAACTATCAATGTGTCGTATTTTGCTGACATGTTTCATGTCAATTGTTTACACTTGATTTTATTCTGAATTGACTATTAAAAGTCCCGTCTACCTGGTCAATACACAGGTCTCACGGTGGATGTTACCGGTTAACAGGGGATGCTTAATCCTGCTAGGCAAGTGATCCTATCTATGGAATTTTCTAGGGGTCCGAGTTTTCTGCTCTCTTCCAAGTACTTGTATTGTTTACAGATTATTTTTAGATCGATTACTGTTGTTATATTCATCTTTTACATTCTTTCAGAAATCGGCTGCAATACAGTAATACATCAATATTGAAAACTTGTTTTGGTTTAATATCAACATTATTCAGAAATTTTCTCTTGTTATGATATTTTCATGAAAATCAATAAATCAACAAACTGATAAGTTAAACTGAATTTTAAACACAATGTATGTGTTGTAATTTTACTATCATTTTTTAAAATCAATTTGTCGTTTTTGCAAAAATGTTTTATAAACTTTTTCAAAATGATTAGTACCACTTTGATAAAAGAATATTATTAAAAGATGTCAGTTAGAGTAACGGTATGATGATTTGACTTAAAGTACATGTTTTTCAATCTTTTTTTACAGCAACATTACAGCACCACCTACAACATATATAGCAAACGAGGTGATTTCGACTTTTTACTTTCAACTCTCCTTAGTTTTGTAGTTTTATTCCACTCTTATCTGCAAATGGTATGAATATTTCTCAACTTTATTATACTCAAATGCATGCTTTGTACGCCCATGTCATGTACGATCGAATAAGTAGGTGGGTCACTGACAGATAAAATTACGTAGCAGGAATATTAACAACCTCTTAAAAATTCAGCATTTTATAAATTCTTCTATGGTTAATGCTAGTACATTGACATAATTAACAAACAGATCCTATAATTCGGTTATATTTCGGCTGCTGTGCTTCATACGAACCCTAAGGCCTATGTTTATACTTGATTTAACCACAATGTTTCGTGTACCAGATCATTACATAGGATTCATTGCGGATGTAACCGTCCAACAGGGGATGCTATCTTGTCCTAGACATTCAGTTAAATATTACAAATACTGCATGCAGTTGAGGAAAAATTGACAATTTTCCCTGCTCAAAACCCCAGTCAACTAAGGAATAGCCGAGTTTACAATGGTTTTCATATGATGAACATTTTCTATTCAATATTTATGTTAGTAAAAGTGACATTCGTCAGATTAGTTTATCGCATGATCAATGCCCGTTACTATGCCGACATCTTTGTGTCTATTGTTCAATGGGTCCATCAGATTCACATTTGCACTAGCTAGAATTGAAAAGAAATCCCAACATTACCAGTACGGTTGTTGCAACCATGGTAAAGAGAGTGCCAAATTTTTTGAGCGATTATTGTAATTTCTTTGATTTTAACAAATTTTATTTGGAGAATTTTCTACGAGAAGATTAAGAAAAAGAATCTGAACACTGGTGAGGAATCTCAACCTGGTATGCATGCTTGTAGTGAATTATATTGGACTTCAGTAACCATGCGTTGAAGAAAATGTGTATCAAATAAAGTCTTACACTAGCAATAATAGCATTTTTGCCCTGGCCATCTTTGACAAAATTAATTCAGATCTTGTGATTTTCACTAACATTGTTCGCAAAATTTATTAAAAATGAGTTAAGAGAAAGAGAAGACAATATTTGGGGGTTTTTTTGGAATCAGAAAAGGAGCTTTACAGATCATCAGATTTCAAACCAGTGGCATGATATTTTATATCACCAGTTTGTTGAGCCAATTTATCCTAAATAGCTACCAAGATGAACACTCTGTTCATGTTTGTTG